CCTCAAAGCTTTGTCACATTCTCTTGTCTATAATGAGGCAGAGGGACTAATTTGGGAGATTGCATGAACATCATTGATGGGATCTCCTGTGTTGGGTACTGGTGTCCCAGGTAAATTTGGCATGGCTTCTGGTCTCAGGAACTGGAAAACTCTTAGTGTAAGAGACTCAGGTACGGGTAAAAGGTATATGAAAGATACATAAAAAGGTACATGCAAGATATATGAAATACTGTATGAAACAAAATGTAACAAAAGATTGTGTACAGCACAAGCAACACAATGTATATGAATTATTGTATACAAAGCAATAAAAAATTTCCAAGAGTGCTGGGGGAAGCTGACTTTTTGCCAGAATCCCACTAAGAGGAGTTTCAGCTCTTTCACTAGCTTGCTTACAGTTTCTCTGGATGTCAGTTCATTTGTTGAACTAGTTTTCCAACATGACTCTGTAGAACCTTCCCTGGGCTACTTCTGGTTGGATGCAAAAGACAACCAAGAGGTGGTGGGCCATGGGTTCTGGGTCTCCTATCCTCAGTTCCACCCAGCTTAGCTCTACTTTTGTTTGTGTCCTGTATTGCATATCAGCAATTTAATTTAAGGCAAAGTATCTAAGACTTTCCAAGGTCTGAAAAAAACAACACCCACCCCAAAATGACTAAACTTGATCAATATAGTTGGACCCATTGCACTCTGAACTCACAATGTGCTCATACAAACTTAGACAAGGCCTATCAAGCTGGCAACACAGAAAACATTGAGTATGAGTGAGGTTACAGTCCAGGTAGGGATACTGGTAAATCTAAGTAACTGACTCTCAAGAGGAAGGGGAGGATTAAGCTTTGTAGATTCATAGTGTCTATAATTTCAAGTTTTCATTGTGAAGTTCCTAAATGCGGTACAGATATGGCTCAGTGATCCATGGCTACATATCCAAAATACTCACCATAAAGAAAAATGCTGACCTGTATTATAAATTAAGAAATATTTGGTAAAAGCATTGCTAATAAATTTGCCTAATAAATCAGTGTACTTGTCAATATGGCTTCCAGGCAGAATGTTTTAAGCATGAGTTTGACATGCAGATGATAAGATACTATAAGAGGTAACTTCAGAAAAGAACTGGTTAGTATATAAACAGAATTTAGAAGATATGCAAAGAAAATTCCCATCTCCAGTCTTTCCCTGCCACTCATCTATCAGTCTGTCATGACAAACTGTGCCAGCTTGTATGCTTTTGTAACCTCACTGTTGGTATTTCAAATGTTAGCAGGGTTAATGATAATGGACAGATAGGAGAGAATCTGAACATTTATTGAGTCACACGGCCTCACCAGTGATGTGGGAAAGTATCCTTGCAAAGGAGGGTGTGCAGTGAATATTCCCGAGTACTACCCACTAGTCTTCCCACTAAAGATAAAATTATTTGTTCCTTCCACATGTAGAATGTATGAGCATCTCAGAAATTCTTACTCCATGAGAGTGAATTCTTCCCTCAGCCAGAGAAAAGAGACCTTCTCCAACCCAGTGAAATGTAGGATATGCTTTGGGACAGCAGCAGCAGCCACAGCTAAAACAGAGAATTGATGTGAGACGGGACTTTGGGAGTGGGGAAGGTAGTAAATACTGGCAGGAGTGAGAACTTGGGAACACTCAGAGACACGAGGCTCAGGGCACAGGTGCCTGTATGCACATTTTTGGAGTTGTCTTGACTGTATTTTGTTATTAATCTGAGTTATAACCTTTTAACACCCCATCCCTGGAAAAAAGTATGAGCTTCTTAATGCCAAATTCTGACCTTAGCAGAACAAAGGGATTGAAGTATCATAAATATCTGATTGATGCAAACACTTAATGTGCTCAGTGGCTAATGGGAACGTTAGTGGATCAATTCTACCGAGAGGCACTCAGAAAATGGTTTGATGAACTACTTTTGAAAAGTGAGCATTGAGAAACTCTACAGAGCATACTTTACTCTGATGCACATGGGCTTGTCATGAATCCGAGGTGAACCTATGACAACTAATTTTAGAATATTCTCTCAGCATGACAAAAAGATGTTTTGTAAATAAGAACACGTCAGGTACCAAGCACCAGGTGTACACGTAATTAGTGTAAAGAGAGGCATACCTCCAAAGGAATGGGTGGTGTGACTTTTGGAGCAAGTTTAAAAGGTAAAAAGGTTAGCATGTACTAAAGAGGCCCTGGGATATTAGAAACATTAAGGACCCTGGTGTCTCAATTTCCTCCAAAGCAGGATTTCAGATGCTGTGGACCAATGGCTGCAGATAAAACCCCATCTTTCCTTTCTAAATGCCGTAACTACAGCTAATCTCTGTCCTGTTATTGTAGGGCTTATGAGTAGGTGTCTAGATCAACAAAAGCTCCATCCAGAACGGATGACAGCCACATGACCCTGGTGTGTGACTGATGCCTGATAAAATTAGGTTTTCCGTCCTGGGTTGGTACATTCTACATGTGTGAAAGCTGCTGGAGGGTCAGTAATGAGTCAGCTCTGACTTGACTGCAATGTGTTTGATTTCTGAGGCAGGGAGGGCCCCTTAAGTAGCCTCAGGTTGCTTTAGCACCTCCACTCCCCTCCCCTCAAAACCCCCAGGGTAGCACTGCTTCAATAGGAATAGCCTTGTATATAAGCTCTTAATTATGTTGAAGATGTCCTCTTCTTTCTGCACCCTCCCACCAGTGTTTTTATCAGCAAAGGGTGTTGAACTTGTTAAATGCCTTTTCATCATCCATGCCCCACTCATCATTTGTTTTGCGGTTTGCTGAAGTGGTTAGGCTTCTGTCTATGGCTGCTCCAGGGCCTTCCTACCCACCTGTCATGGTGGCACCAATGACTTGGAGCCACTTCACCCCAGGCTGGTGGTGGGTACGCTAAAGATTCTGTTATTCCCGACTCTTCCTACTGTGCACCAGAGAGCAAGACCCTGCTTCAGAGTCTGCTCACCCCCACCAAGTGAGTCCAATGTGCTCCACAGGTCACCCATTCAAGAAGGCATCTGGACATGAGGCCTAGATCTACTGCTCTGGTTATTTACAAAGCCACTCAGATGCTGTGACTAGCTCACTGAAAAACTGGCCAGATCATCCTGTGAAACAGTCTATCCCTCCCCTGTCCCAAAAGATAAGAACCATCCAGTAAATGCCCTACCACTTAACAGTTCTTGGTGAAGGTGGGGCAGTACATTTTGATGCTGTTAAGAATAAAAATATAGCCCAATTTCTACTCAAACGCAGTGAATTTACTGCCCAGTTTCTCATTAACTACTGTCAAGGAAGGAGCAGACAAAATAAATTATGAAAAAATTATTTTTTAATGTACAAAAAGATTTATTTACAAATTGAACATGTCATTTCAGTTCATAGTATGTAGAAAAAGCTAAAAATGTTTTGAAGATATAAATTTGACTGGATGGTTTACCTACAGAATTCTCAAAAATGACACATTTTTGTACAGAATACATACACATTAAGAACGGCTAGTGAAATCCTAGGTCAGGAAGTAAGTGAACACCACCACAGAGCCCCAGACCCACTGAGAAGTCCAATGCCTGGCCATTCAGGGACGGCCTTGTCTTTTAACAGTTTGATGTTCCAAGATGCAACGGGGTTTTGGCCCTGTTTAGGGTATACTTGGCCGAAGCCAAAGCTACAGTCAGAAGCAAACTCTTATTGGTGCAGTTGGCTTGGCAGGGTTGCCACAAATCCCACATGGAAACCCTTGAGGAGGGGGAAGGATGCATGTAGATGGGATAAGGAAGTCATCAATTTGTCCCTTGAAGCCAAGTTCCAAATTCCATTTCTAGATAGTACTTGGTCACATCAAACAGGAAAATCAAGTGGTGGTTCTTTAGAGCCTCAAGAATTAACCCTTTTACTCTTTCATAACACACAAAACACTGTGCATGCCAACATTCTTAGCCAAATGGACAGGGAGGGACAGTGGGTAAGTGTCTAATAGATTCTGGGGACTGTGCACTGTGGCTTGGTGCACACCACTGGGCTGCTGGTCAAGGACAGCAAAGCCAAGGATGCCTGGGCCTTCCTGCCATGAGGTGGGCACACAGTGCACGGGAGAGGCAGAGGGTTTGTAAACATGCAACTTCCTCCCCCTATGGGCCCTGGGTGCACCCTCAGCCCTTCTTGAGCACCATCGGCACTTCAGCTCACCTGGGTCCATCTCTGACCCACAGCAGGTCCAGGAGCCCCAAGGTATTTAGAAATGAGCATTCTTTTCAGGCACAAATACTGTAAACAAGGGCAAAGGAGCCAGGGTGATTTCAGGGCTTGCCCCAAGAGGATCACCTTTTCTTTGCTTTTTCTGGTGATCCTTCTGATACTTTATTCACTTGTATGCAGGTAGCCAGTCATGGGTCCCAAACTCCGTTCTATGGTTAGAAATGGAAGATCTAACAATCCTGGAATTAGAAGGGGCTTCTGAGTCATACAGCTAGAGTCAGTTTTGCAGCAAGTAACATTCAAAGCCTCAAGAATTAAACTTCAGTGAAGAATCTAATGGGCCAAGAATTCCTTGTCTTCATGGGTACTGATGTGAGAAGCTAAACTTCCTGCAGCAGAATATCCTGTATGGCTTTCAGATTCAAACTCAGTGTGGTTCCCATCCCTTTTCCCTGTGCCCTTGGCTGATGCAATCCTCTGTTAGCCAACCAACAGCTGTGACAGCACCAGGACTGTTGACCTATCAACATCAAAGGCCAGAAAGCACCGTGTATGTACCGAGCACTGAGTTTTTCATTCCTGCCTTCCTTTCTTCTGGAGACTCTGTCCAAAGTTTTAAAAAATAACCCCAAAATACCAGGAAGGCTGCATAAGACTTCTTAAAGCAGCTGTGGCCTAAGTCAACCATTGGTAAAAACTCCTCAGACCTATTAAATAATACTCTTTTGGAAAAGACAAAAGATAAAGCGCCCATAATGTGGACAGCAGTTCCCCCAAGCCCGCTGAATTCAGGGCCCTGGGGCTTAAACCATCATATTCAGGAACTTGCTCTCTTCAGCCAGGCTGGTGAGCATGGAGCTCATGTCACCCACAGCCATGTTGCTGAGGCCTGAGGGGATGGAGGGCAGCGTCAAAGAATTCCTTGGGGTGGTGAGGCGCGAGGAGTTCTGGGAGAGGCTGTGGAGGAAGCTGGGACTCAGGGTGCTTGAGAGCAAGCTTGAGTGGTCACCATCATCCATGATGGCATCAAAATCAATCTGGGGGGCCTCCAGGAGCTGGGAGTCCACAGTGCTGGACACCTGGTTGACTCCTGGTGATGGCAAGGGCTGGGGTTTCATGCTATTTGCACAGGCTTGGGGCTGCGTGAGTTGGCAGTCCGGGTGGCTCCCAGGGCCTCTGTCCTGCTGGTACATGTGGATATGGCCGTAGTAGCAGAGTAGGCTGTGATCCTGGGCCCCGTTGGCACATTCTGGGGGCTGCTGTGTGGGAGCAGGCAGCACAGTGCCTATGACTCCCTTGGGCGTGGCCTCTGCTGGTCCCTGGCTGGCCAACCCAGCATTCATTGCATGACCAGTGGCCCTAGAATAGGCCAGCTGCTGTCCAGCACGCACTCCACTGTGATGGCTGGTTGGACTGGGCTCAGCAGGAGGCCGGGGCTGCAGTAGGCCAAAGTTTGATGCTACTGACCCCATCATGCCCTGCTGGGGCTCCATAAAGCCAGACTGGTGGGAGGGTAGAAGGTTGGGACCGTGGTGGAAGCCCTCCTGGCTCACCGGGGCCACCAAGTGATGGCTCTGTTGTGGGTAACTCTGGGATGGGAGAGGTGGGGGCACCACAGTCAGGGAAGAACTGGGGTCTCCAAGTTCTCTATGTCTGTTGCCCAGCATGGTGGACTCAGGAGCAATGTCCATTTGCTGAGGGAGCCCCAGGTGGCCTGACTTGGTTGGCATATTGCTACAAGATGTTGAATACTGGGTTAGGACTTCCATGGTGCTGGGGCTCAGCTGGGAGGTGGCCTGACCACTGGTAGAGTAGGGACTGGTTGTGGTAGCCATGTTGGGACACTGGCCACCTGTGGCTGGCTGTCGCATCTGCTGTACATAACTGGCCCTGTGCCCTGAGTGAGGCTCCAGGTGTGGCTGCGTGCTGTCCAGGCCCGCTGGGCTTGTCTGCAGGTTCTGCCGGCTGTAGCCTGAGCACTGAGCAAGCACCTGTTTCTGTGGACCTAGCGCCAAGCCGTTCTGTGGAAAGAGTGGGGACTCTATCTGACTGGCCAGCGTGTCCACAGTGCCCGAGCTCACCTCATTCCACTGCACAGGCATGGTGTTTTTGTTGAGGCTCTCAGGCACCTCAAAGCTCAGCTGGGAGCCTCCTGGCATAGTCGTGGGGCCCATGTTCGAGTCCACAGGTACCATCCTCCGCTGACTGTGCAGTGCCGGACTGGGCAGCTTGGCAGTCTCAGGGAAGCTAGTGCTTTGAGCAGGATACCCCTGCGGGCTGCTCTCCTGCAAGGCGCTGCTGGTGTGAGCGTTAATATACTGAAGCACATCATCAGGTAGCATCAGCTCGTCATCTGGACCTATGCCACCCGCCTCCACGGCCAAAGCCTCCATCACCACGTTTTCACTGATGCTAGGCGCATGTGGCGAGTAGGCACCACGGACCGTACCGCTGTCCACACACGGGTAGGCTGACAGGGCAAAGGCACAGCGCTCCAGGCATGGCAGTGTGGTGGGGCCCACGCAGCTGGCGCTGTGGAAGCGCTGCACCTGTGGGGGCGCTGCAGGCTCAGGTCGCCTCACGGGGTCGCTGGCCCGCCGCACCCCAGGGCCCAGCACATCGTGCGCAAAGGTGGGAGCGGGCCTGGGGTGGGTGGGGGCTGGGCCGTCACTGCTGCGCCGTGGGCCCAGGACACGTGGGCAGGGTGGCGGCAGGGCAGAGCCGGGCGTGTCGAGCAGCGCCAGGCGGGTGCGCAGGCTCACGCGCTCCAGGCCCGGTAGGGGTGTGGGTGGGGGCCCACCGGTGGCGGCTGCGTACTTGGCCCGAAGGCTGTATTGCTGTGCAGGGGTGAGGTGCAGCGGCCCGGAGCCGCCTCCACTGCACTGGCTGGCCTGGCTGGAGCGCCGCGACGTGTCTGTGGAGATGGGGTCGTAGGAGTCGGCTGAGCTGGCGTTGTGCCCGCGACCTGGGACGGGTGGGGAGGCCTCGCTGGAGCGGCGGCTGGAGAAGTAGGGGGAGATGCCGGAGGAGCGGCGGCTCACGGTGTAGGCGGAGCTGACCGTGCTGGTACAGCTGTCACGGCGTTCCTGCAGCTGGCTTAGCATGGTCACCTCACTCGTAGGCAGCTCGGACAGCCGCGGACTCGGATGCAGCCCCGCTGGCCCACTGTTGCCAAAGTTTTCCAGGATGGAGCCTATGTGGAAGGAGACAGGTAAGATTAGGACTGGACCCTCCCTGCCTTGGGCATACAGAGTCTGCAACTGCACCTCAGCAGCATCTGGTGCGCACTGGCACTCAGTAAAGGAAAATGACACAAAGAACAAACACAGTGAACAAATGAGTGTCTATTAATAAAGTGTACAGGGAGCTCTGGTGGCCTAGTGCTAAGAAACTGCGCTGTAATCCCAAAGCGACCCAGTTCTAATCCACCAGCTGCTCCTCGGGAGAGAATGGGCAATCTCCTCCTATATGATTTCCTGCCTCCTAAACCCAACAGATTATTGATTATGGAGCCAAGCAAACTAAAATGGGTAACAGTCTCAATCTCTTCACCATCCATTATGATGCTGCCTATTGGCCCAGTGATGAGAATCTTTGTTTTCTTGATGTTGAGCTTCAATCCATCTATGAAGGCTGTAGTCCTTGACCTTCTGCAGCAAGCGCTTCAGGTCCTCTGTTTCAGCAGCAGGGTTGTGTCATCTGCATAACACAGATTTTTAATGAATCTTCCACCTATCCTGATGCCACATTTCCTCCTCATACAGCCCAGCCTCCTGGATGATCTGTTCTGCATACAGATGGAAAAAGGTGTGGAGACAGAATATATCCCTGGCAGACACCCTTCCCGATTTTGAACCATGTAGTGTCTCCTTCCTCTGCTCTGATGACTCCTTCTGGGTTCAAATATAGGTAACACATAAGCATCAAGTGTTCTGGGATTCACATTCTTCTCAGAGTCAGCCACAGCCTGTTGTGATCCACACAGTCAATGCCTTTGCATAGTCAATGAAATGTAGATAGTTTCTTGTACTTACTTTCTGCTTTCAGTCAAGATCTATCTAATATTAGCCATAATATTGCTAGTACCACAGCCTCTTCTAAACCCAGCCTGCATATCTGGCAGTTCTCTTTTGACGTGTTACTCCAGTCGTTTTTGGATAATTTTCCGCAGAATCTTGCTTGCATGTGATACTAATGATATTGTTTGATAATTTTTGCACTCTGTTGGGTCACCTTTCTTTGAAATGGGAACAAATATTGATCTCTTCCAGTCAGTTGGCCAGGTGGCTGTCCTCCAGATTTCTTGGCACAACTTATTGAAAACATCCAGGGAAGTGTCTATTTGTTGAAATACGTCAATTGGTATGTTGTTAACTCCTTGAGCCTAGTTTTTAGCCAATTCTTTAAGAGCAACTTGAGCTTCCCCCTCCATCACCACAGGCTCTTGCAATGAATTGCATTGGGAAAGTCAGCTGCCAGGGACCTCTCCAGAGTACTGAAGAGCAGTGACATCAGGCTGGTGACTAAGGTGCACCTGATCCAGGCCATAGTCTTTGCAGTTGTGTGCTATGCATCAGAGAGTTGGACAATGACCAGCAATGATAGAAAGAGAATTGATGCTTTGAGCTGTGGTGCTGGAGAAGTGTTGAATATACCATGGACTGCTAAGAGAACACACAGGTTTATGCAAGAGAGAGTGAAACTGGGCTCCTCCTTGGAGGCAAGGATTCTGAAGCTTTGTTTGACGTTCTTTGGGCATGTTGCAAGGAGGGACCAGTCCTTGGAGAGGGACATCATGTCTGGGAGAGCGGAGGGGCAGTGCAGGAGAGGAAGACCCTTGATGAAATGGATCAATTCAGTGACTGGGGTAATGGGAGTAGGTGTGTCAGAGACAGTGAGGTTGGCACAGGATAGAGCAGGGTTTAGGGCTCTTGTACACAGGGTCACTATGAGTCGCAAGTGACTGGATGGCACATAACAACAACAATGACATACTGGAGGGTCACTGGACCCACTGGAGGGTCAGCTCTAAGTCTATTCCATCTTGACCACACATCACCATCATCACCACCACTGCTGCCACCACTGACTCAATGACAAGCAGGTTTGGTTGGATTTGGTTGTGTTAAGACCAAGAGCAGGGGTCAGAAGTTGCATGCAGATGTCACCTCTCTCTCCCTGTGTTAGCTGGTCCTGCCTTCTTAGTCATATCCAACTCTTTTATCTCCAGCTGTGGAATGGGGAGATAAAACAGGCCCCTCTGTGAACTGGGCTACTGTCAGGAGGAGAGGAGAGGCCCCAAAAGCCTGGAATGGACTTAGTACTTAATTCTATGACAAGTCCTAGCTTCTTGGGGTGGGGGTGCTCTGTGTCAGTAGCGAGAACTGCCAAGCAGGATTGAAGGTGGCCTTGGCGAGTCTCATAGTATTCATATGCCCTCTCTATGTAGGGTGAAGCTGGGTAGAGATAATACCTATGCTGGCCATCCCTTGGAAGGTGCAGCATCTCAGTAAGGGGCAAGACCAAAGCCTCTGCTGTAGGGCCAGAGAACTGAAGGTCATCTGTCAGCAGTCTATTTTCAGGAAGTAACTGAGTAGTACACACAGTGCCCACCAAAATGTTCTGTCAATCCCTGTGGTCATCTTGAATGACACAGGCAGTATTCAGAAAACACTTGCCAAAGATCCCTCCACTCAGCCTGATACCTCTGGAGGAGGCTAAGTCCTCAGCACTGCCTCCTCCACAGAATCCTGCTTGCTCTTGCCCAGTTCCATTTTCCTTCGAGCACCCCTCACTTTAGCCTGAGCGCCAAAGCCACACTGCCACTGATTTGGGGCAGGCTTTTTTATAACTCCTCTCCCTCAGCTTCCTTATCAATAAGATGATGCTGATAGGAGCTGTCCTCCTGGGCATCCATGAGAAGGCACCTGGCAGGTTCACCTGGTGCTGCCCTTGACTCTGACCCAGGCCTGTTCCAGGCCCACTTACCACTTCCCGGGAGGGGTGGCAGCTTGGTAGTCCGGCTGTGCGGGGCTGGCCCAGCCCAGGAGCAGGAATCCTTGAGTGACTTGAGCTTCTCCTTCTTGAGCTGCTCAAACCGGTGCATGGTGCTCATTTGTTTGCGTAGCTGCAGGCCACCAGCTGAAGGTGTGGCCAGGGCTGAGGTGCTGGCCCCCAGGGGCACATCATCCAGCGCTGTCAGGTCTCCCAGGCTCCCAGGCCCTGTCCTTGGCATCTCCACGCCACTATCATTGTTGGGGGCACTGCCCAGGGGAGAGAGCTCACTGCTACAGGATGACTGGGCCCCGGGGCTGGACTGGCACAGCTGCAGGGGCACAGCAAAAGGGCATGGAGTCAGAGGGTGGGAGGACCTGGCACCCTTCACTAGCCCCACAATAGGCACTGTGCATCCACAGAGGAGGCAAAAGGAGAGAGATGGGGGGATTTGGTACCCTAAACTTGCCCCACTCTGTGCATTACACATCCATAGGGTAGCATCTCTTGTCCTTTTGCAAGTCATTTCACCTCTCTAAACCTGGACTGCCTTTGCCTGGGACAGTTAAATAGGATAGCAGCAGCATGCATGAGACATCAGTAATTTTAGACCCATGGCTCCATCTATCTGTGCGCCTGCACTTTACCTGCCCCAGTCTACCTAGAGTCCAGCTGTGAACTTCGGGTGTTTGGAAACATGGAGCCTGTGCTCCCTGGAGGCTCAGCTTGAGGGTATCAGCACTAAATACACAGAAGCATTCTCACCAAGAGCCATGTGCCACACCACGAAGCAGGTGCCAGGAGGGACAGAAATGCTGCATGCAGCCACAGCCCATATAGCCACCCTGACTGGTTTCTGTTGGGTGTTGGGTGGACAGACCCAGAAAGAAGTGGACGCAGTAAGTGGAAGGCTCACTGGATGCACATGCAGTGTAGAAAACCACATAATTCTGTCCACATCTGTGTCTATGGGGGTTCTGGTGTGGCAGCCCAAGTCAGGCGCACTCAGGTATAATTACTCTGGGCTCATTCCAAGGTGGGATATCCCCCAAGTGCTCCTATGCCCAGCAGACCACTCCACATGCTTCCCCTCGCCAGTCAATACCCTCTCCAGACTGACTCACCTACCCCCTCCACTGCAGTTTAAGCTAAGGACACCACTCTCCTGACCTACCTTCCTTTGTCCCACCACAGCCCCCACAGCCACCCACTGTGCTCACCTCAGAACTGTCTATCCTTAGGGGAGGTACAGTCAGGAAAGAGATGGAGACAAAGAACAAGTGGTTAGAACAAAGGAGTACAGACCAGAATGTGTGGCTGCAGAAAGGACAGAGTGGGGCAGGAGGGGATGCTTGTTGGAGGCACACAGGAGCCACCTGTGTCAAAAAGGTGCAGCCTTGGAGGACAGGCACCACCCTCTCCTACAGCCAGGACAGCAAGGGTTGCACTAGAGGTGGAGGATCCCACAAACAACATCTATGTGGACAGATGGTCACTGTCCCACCTTTTGATTGGAGAGCCTGAGGCAAAGCACCAGCTGTGACAGATATCAAGGCAGAGCCCAGCTGTGATAAGGGATCCCGAGAGTGAGCCCTAGCTGTGAGGGGTCCCGAGGCAGAGTCCGAGCTGTGATGGGGGATCCTGAGGCAGAGGCCTAGCTGTGATGGGGGATCCCGAGGCAGAGCCCCAGCTATGATAGGGGATCCTGAGGCAGAGCCCCCAGATTTCAGGGGTCTTGAGGCAGAGTCCCAGTTGTGATAGGAGATCCCGAGGCAGAGACCTAGCTGTGATGGGGGGTCCTGAGGCAGAACCCCAGCTGTGACGGGGGATCGTGAGGCAGAGCCCGATCTGTCGGGGGTGGGGGGAGGTGTCCTGAAGCAGAGCCCCAGCTGTGATGGGGGATTGCGAGGCAGAGCCCCAGAGTCAGAGCCCTAGCTGTGCGGGGTCTTGAGGCAGAGCCCCAGCTGTGATGGGGATTCCAAGTCAAAACCCCCAGCTGTGATGGGTGTCCTGAGGCTGAGCCCCAGGTGTGATATGGGGTCCAGATCTAGAGCACCAAGCTGGGATGGGGCTGCAAGCCCTGAGAGGGATGCTGAAGTACTCTGAGGTCAGCAGGGAAGGCCGAGTGGCCTGGGGCCATAGTAGTCCACTGGGCTTACCACGGAGCTCTCAGTCTTGATGGATTTGATGTGCAGGCAGTCCTCAACAGCCTGGCTGGGACTGGTGGCCTCTGTGCTCTCCTCAGAGCCCTGGCCACCTGGCTGGACACTGGCCTCACTGTCCCCATTCTCCTTGGGCCGTGGGACACGGAGGTGTCCGTCGTTTCGCTGTTTCTTGGTGACATGAGCGTCTGGGCCATGCACAGTTTTCACGTGCTTCCGGAGTGAGCTGGGGTCTGTATATCTCTTGGTGCAGCCTGGAATCTTGCAGATGTAAGGTTTCTGGAGAAAGATCAGGCTTGTTATGGCCAAGAGGCCAGCAAAGATGGCAGGGACAGGGCCCCCCATTATTTACAGCTAGCACCCTGTGGCTGGAGGCCAGCAGGCCCAGGTGTGCAGAAGCCTGGTCCAGCCTGGTTTACCACTTGTTAGTATGGCAAATGCCACTCGTGCCACAGCTGAGACAGCTGGGAAGGAATGTGCACATGCCTTGAGGGACCCTAGAGTCACCTCCTCTGCAGACAGAGCACGGAAGTCCGTAACAGGAGGCAGTGCTGGGCCTCCCACTCAAACAGGACCAGGGAGGCTAGGAAACATGCTTAAAGTCCCCAGTACGAGGTTGACAACCAGACACTGTTAAGCTGAGGCATCAGTTAGTGGGCAGACACACACACCCCTCATGGCACACAACCTTTGCCCGAGTGGGTGGGTGGGACTTGGAGGTGGGTTGCAGCAGACAGTACTGCTCCTGCCCAGCTTCATCTCCCAGGCACTCTTGGCTCCACCAGGGCTTTAGCTGCCTGAGGCACCATGGCTGGAAGATGAGCCACGGTGGGCCGTCAGCACCAGCAGCCAAAGCAAGGTACTGCTGACTGCAGAGACCCTGGGCTAGGGGCTCAGATACAGCTGCACTCCCAAATGGGAGCCCTGCTTGCTGTGGAACTGGTAACTTTGAGCCTTGATGGCTCAGGGATGTGAACCCAGGTCACAGGAGGATTTTACAACTGCAGATAAGCCAGCATTCCTGTCCCAATGTTCCAACCTATAAGTCATGGGGTGCTGGGGACAGGATTTCATTCCTCTGAGCACAAGACCCTTTGATAATTCAAAGAACTTGGGAGACAGAGAGGGTACCTGCCACAACTTTGGCTTCTCTGTAAGAGAAAATTGAGCAAGAGGGCACATGAATGTGAGGGGCCTTGCGGGCCATCCCATCAGTTCTCTTTCTCTGAGAAGAGGAATCGACCCAGCCCCTGGGAGCCTGGGGTCCTCACAGCCTCCCAACTGGACAGAGTCTTACAAGGCCCTATGGGGCCTGTGTGTCTAAGGATGTGCAGCAAGTCCTTGTGGACCACAAATCACACCTCCAGGGTGTGTCTGCAGACGTACCTCATTGGAGTGGGTACGGTTCTGGTGCTTGGCGCGGTCAGAGGCATTGGAGAAGGCCTTGTTGCAACCCTCGTGCTCACACACGTATGGCTTCTCCCCAGTGTGGGACCGCAGATGTGTCTTCAGGTTCTCCAGGCGAGAGTAGGCCTTGGAGCAGCCCTCGAACTGGAATGAGGAGGGCTGGTCAGTGATGGCTCAGTGCGACAGCAGAGGCCAAGGCGGGCTGCCCACACCCTCCCTCCACCTGAGCCTTCAGGGTAGACTGTACAACTTCTCCTAATTCCATGATGTAAAAAAAATCAGTACAAATGGGAGAGTGAAAACACTTGGGCACCCGAAGTAGAGCTGCCAACATCCTGGCAAACCAACTCTGAAATCTGTGTAATCCAGCCAATACACATTGTTAAAACAAGGCCACGGAACTTCCCACGTTGCTGGGTACTCTGTGACGTGGTTCTTAACAGATGCCTGGCACCACTCCTACAGGAGGACTTCCCAGTGCCTCCTAATGTGCTGGCATCAAAAGAAGACAGATAAAGGGAGTGTGGCATGTGTATGCATTGGGGTGCTCTGCACGAGGAAAGAAGCCCTGATATTACAACACGGGTAAACACTAGAAGCATTATAAGGAGTGAAAATAAACCAGTTTCTCACAAGTATCCCAGAGTAAGTACATCCAAAGACATAGTGTTGTCAGGGGCTAATAGGGACTGCTGACTGGTTCAGAGTTTCATTTAGGATGAGGAAAATGTTCTGGAATAGTGGTGATGGTTGTGAAACTTTGTGAATATACTAAAAGTTTTCAAAAGGTAAATTTTATGAAACATGAATTATACTTCACTTAAAAAATCTGTCAACAAATGCACTGTATCAGATCCTAGGCACAGTCTGATTTCAGGGATATTAATGTGAAGCCAAATGGCTATCTCAGGCCCAGGGAGAAGAGCAGTTACACAGAGTTGCCCCAGCTGCTCTGGCCCTGTCAACATCTGTGCATAACAAGGGCACAACCCTTTGAAGCAGAAGACTTTCTTTGTGTTACATGAGAAAGGCTCATCTGTTATAACAGTCAAAAATCTTGTAGACTCCGTAAAGGGTATGGAAGGTTATTTTATAAACCCAACCAGCATGGCTGAACTCACCACAGCTCAAGCTAGGAAGCACTAATGAAGGTGGCTCTGCAGGGACGGAATGCAGGGCACTCTAGAGCGAAACCATCTGCCAGGGCCAAGACCAGAGGAGAGAATTGGTGGTGGCAGGCAAACAGGTCTTACTGCTTGCTGCCCAGTCAAGGACCCCACCTCAGCCTGTGCCGGCCCGTGGCCAGCCACAGGAAGAAGTGGAAAGCGAGGCGACTCACCGTGCACTTGTGGGGCTTCTCGCCTGTGTGCCGGCGCATATGCACCACCAGCATGTACTGTGCCTTGAAGGGCTTCTGCTCCCGTGTGCAGGCCTGCCAGCGGCAAACGAACTCCTTCTTCTCCCCGTGGATGTGGTCGTTGTTGATGTGCTGTAGGAGCAAGTACGTGCAGTGCTGAGCTACTATCTGCAGGACACCCGCCCCACTGGGCCCCACGGTCTGTGCCACCCTTGAGTGTAATGTCAAGTTATACACCTGGCTGGCATTTGTGGCTTGTATTATCTCGTTGCAGACTGGCGATGTCAGGACTCTGCTGAAGCACTGGGCACCAGCCATGGACTGGCAGGCTCTCACCCTAAAGACAGAAACCTGCTGGATCTCACGTTAGTGTCCCCTACTCAACTGTAGGAATGCCACTGCTGGAGTGGGGAAGTCTGCAGCCCTTTCAACTTCCAGGAAAGTTCTATCATATTGACTCACTCTTTGTTCTCAAAGCCTTTCATAGGATCAGAATGTTCCCTGACAATGCCTTTCATTTTTCTCTTCATGATTTACTTAGCAGCAAATTGTTAATAACGGACTGGAGTTCCCTGTGTGTTTGCTGCCACCCAGCCTGCAAGGAGCAGACAGAGGCAGAGGGTAGTTCTCTCATGCCAGGGAGCAGGCATGGCCACCTTGCCAACGGGTACAAGATGAAGTCTGCTCTGAAGCCCCTCCGCAGCTCCGAGCCCACATGCCTGTGCTTAGGAATTCCCTCTGGCCTTAGGGGACACACACTTAGTTAAAGATATATTTTTCCTTGTCACCTCCCCAGTTTTGCCTCTTTTGGCCTGAAATGGCAGCCCCTTTCCTCTTCAACTGAAATAATATCTGACCTATAGCTTGCAGCTACATCATCCCTCTTCATCTGGGACTTGTTGGCTCCAAAGAGATAGTGCATGTTGAAAAATTAGGTTCAAGTTCTGGAGAGGATTAACTAAAACTCTGGTTCATAGTTGTCAGCCCCAGGGTGCTTGCTGGGAAATTTTTGGTCTTCCAGTGGGCAGAAAAGTCAGAATGCATAAGAAGTCTGTATTATCTGCAGACCTGCATGCCTAGAGGCAACAGAGGGAATTGGCAATACCCTATCCAGGGCAGGGTGAAAAAGAGGCCAGGATGAACTCTGGACTGTCCTGAGCCTGTTGCTGCCTTTGCACCCCCACCATGGCCACCGAACCCAGAGAGAGGCTGGAGAAAGACAGGACAATGTGAAGGATTAACCAGGGTTTGGCGGTGGGGAGACCTGCAAGGTTATGGGTGAAACTTGCTCCTCCAACCAGAACCTAAACCCAGAATGGTGCAGCAAAGGAGGGTGAGAAGGCACCTAGAGGGAAGCAGGGTGCAGGCACTGGCCGGGGTGTAAGCAGGGTGCTGGCGCTGGGCTGCGATGCCCAAGCAGACAACGACCAGAGAGAACAACATGCTGAAGATGTCAAGTGAAGTTTGGCCTTATGAGAACTAGCTACTCCTGCTCACGTTCCAGAAATACAACGTTTTATCAAGTTTCATGAAAATGCAGAATTATGTCTTACTTTTTCAGCTATACTGTTACCACTTTATTGCTTTAGGGGGAGGAACGGGCAAGTATCTCTGATGTGGGAGAAACCATAGATTTATCACTCTGAATTGCCACAAGTCTAGAAATCTTATTCTGAGAGACTTTCCCTTGATTCCTAGGAGGACAGGTTCTCTGATGCTGACACACAACATTTATTTTTATGTCCTTCTCTCTCTGTCCTCAGTGTAGACTTGACTCACAATATCTGGAGATTGCTGGGCTTCCCAGGTGCTATCCTAGACACATGCCTCGAAGAACACTTCTGTTTCATTACATTGTGGATCTTCAGATTAGGAATCCTCACATTTTCAGAATTGTGTTATCTTGTGAAAAAGGTTAACCCTCTGTGGAACTTTGTCTATTCAAATGAAGCTCTCACTGGGATTTTCAGTGCTTTCTGACTTTGTAGTCCACTGAAGAAGGGATTTAAAATATTCTTGGATGTGGTTGGTTAGTGCTGTCGGTCATATCCTGTCTATAAAACCATAATTGCTTGTGAAAAATATTTTAAAAATACTTGGCAGCAAGTCTAACTAGGGATTCAAAAGACCTATTCAAAGAAAATTACAAAATATTACTATAAGAAACAAAAAAGAGACTTGGAGCAATGAAAGAATATACCTTGTTCTTGGATAAGAAGACTCAATATTCTGAAAATAACAGTTCTACCAAAGGCAATCTACAAATTCAATGCAATCCCAATTGTCCAACTTTTTTCTGGAACAGAAAGAGACACTGAATAAGCAAAGCACTCCTGAAAAAGAAAAACAAGGTAGGAGGCATCACACTCCCTGATTTCAAATCCTACTACACAGCTTTGGTGGTCAAGACAGCGTGGTAGTGGTATAGTGACAGACACACAGATCAACGAAATAGAATGGAGAACCTAGAAATCAGCTCATTTTCCTATGATCAACTGATTTTTGACAAGGAGATGAAATAAGTTAAATGGGGAAAATGAAAGCCTCTTTAACAAATGGTGTTGGCAAAATTGGAAAACTATCTGAAGAAAATTCAAGTACGCCTCACCTCACACCATACCCAAAAACAACTCAAGGTGGATCAAAGACTAGGAATAAAGTCATAGACTATAAACATCAGAGAAAAGCCTGGTAGAACTCTAGGAACCCTAATCCACAAGATGCCTAATCAGGCATCTTGAAAAAACTTTAATTGGGAGAGGATAAAATAGGTGAATGGGACCTTTTAAGAATCAAATCCCTATGAACATCAAAAAACTTCTCCAATGGGGTAAGAAGGAAAGTCACAGACTGGGAAAACGTCTGCAGGCTGGGTCTGGGTGTTGAAATAGTTTTGAAAACAACACTTATATACCATATCTAGAGGACACATTGCCCTCTCCTGGGAAACCATTTCCTTTTTTTTTTCTTCTTTTTCTAAAATTTATATTTAAATTTTTAATAAAAAAAAATTATTTCTTTTTAATTTCTTTCTATTACTCTGATTTATTTACAAAGGATGAATACATTGTTTTTCATGCTTGTGTCAGCACCATGCTGCAAATGGAAGAGAAAAAGCACTAAGCCACAAGAAGTTAATCCTGGAACAGAAGTTTAAAACAGCCAAAGATGGAGTTCCGCCGCCAGAGACGGAGTTCTGCCGCCAGATGGGCAAGGAAGAGACCCAGGAAGAGCAATAGTCAGCCA